TATCACCAACCATTCCCATGTTATTACGGTGTATCCATATAAATGGCCCACCCGGTACATCAGCAACAAAAACTGTGAGGATGATGAAGAAGGGACGGCAGCTTTGTCAACATGACAACAGTTTTTTTTTTCAGTGATATGGGGCCACTGTAAGCATATGATTTATATATATTAAGCTTGACATTAAACAGAATTCTAATTATTTCAAATGAACTCAAAGTATGAAGCAGTAATATTATCCCATTTAATACTGATTGGAAACATTTTTCTGTAGAATAATTATTTTCACTTTATGCACAATTTTTCAATAATGCCTCGTCCCTGTACCAAAGTTGCCATGTCCCAGTGGCCCCCAGGATTACAGGCCTGTCATCCTGTCATCAGTACATCATGAAGACCCTGGAAAGACTCATCCTGGACTAGCTTCGACCATAGTAAGACCACATCAGGATCCCCTTCAATTTGCTTACCAGCCCCATCTAGGAACTAAGGACGCCATCATCTACCTGCTCAATCGTGTCTACACCCATCTGGACCAGTTGGCGAGCACTGTTAGGGTCATGTTTTTTGACTTTTCCAGTGCATTCAACACCATCAGGCCGACCCTCCTGGGTGATAAGCTGGGTGACTCCTTTGTTACATGGTGCGAGCAGAATTATCTGCAGCTCAACGTGGCAAAGACCAAAGGAATTGATTGTGGATTGTAGGAAGACCAGGAAAACCTTAACCCCGTTTCAATATTTAGTATTTATAATCCTCCACAACGTGGACATTGTGGAGGATTATAAAGGATTATAAATACCTTGGAGTACACATAGACAATAAACTGGACTGGGTTAAAAACACTACTGCACTTTACAGGAAGGGCCAGAGTCCACTCTATTTTCTGAGGCGGCTGAGGTCCTTCAACATCTGTTGGACAATGCTCAGGATTTTTCATGAGTCTGTTGTGGTCAGTGCGATCCTCTATGCTGTTGCATGCTGGGGAAGCAGGTTAAGGGTTGCTGATGCCAACAGACTCAATAAACTGATCTGCAAGGCCAGTAACGTTTTGGGGATGGAGCTGGACTCTCTTAAGGTGGTGTCAGAGAGGCAAATGTTGTCCAAGATAACACAAAGTTGGACAATACGTCCCACCCACTGCATAACATGCTGGCTAGCCACAGGAGCACGTTCAGTGAGAGACTGAGATTACCAAAAAGCACCACTGAACGACAAAGGAAATCATTCCTGCCTGTGGCCATCTCCCTGTACAACACAATCTAATACACTGTAAACACTGCTATAGTTACATCTTTTTGCACACGCTCTTTCTTACTTATTAATGTTGCTGTCTATTTTCTTGATATTTATTCATAACCACATCTGCCAACCCTGTATATTTATTATTTGGTGATTTGTATATATTGT